CCCCCCCCGTGTGGTATTGAAGCATAAAATATCAGTTCTTTTTTATTTTCTTTTTTCCTTTCTCCTTTCTCTATTTGATTTCCGTCACCTAAGATCATCTCCAACCCTAACACAAAATTTCACACCAAATTTCATACCAAAATGGTGTAACACCAAATTTACTCCAACCATTGCATCATTTTTTACACCAAAAAATAATATTTCTTTTCTCTCTTCTATATTATATTATTATCTTCTATTTAAATTTTATTTTTTATTTCCTTCAAACAAATACTATCTTTTTTCTTTTTTCCATATTCATTATATATAATTCACATTCACCACTTATATAATCATTTATTACAAAATTATTTTAAAGGATAAATCAACTAAAAGTGAAATCATTGGTAAAAGATAATTAAATAAATATTACATCATAGTCAAATTTAATTTAAGTACCACATAAATATTCAACTTTCGCCTCTATTCTCCCATAAATGCTCGATTAATGCATTACGAAGTGCGAAATGCGCATCTTTATCCTTAATTTTTTTGTGTCGAGCTAAAAATTATTCAAATCGGTGATCTTCATCTACTACCATTTCTACCGTAGGAGCTGGACATTCACGTGCATCTTCAATTGGTGCATTAAACTTATGTTTTATATTTTTTAATGTAATTTCAATTTTAATTTATCCTCCTTTGATGTACTTTAATTATAATGTATTTTTATTTTATGTATTGTTAATTTTCTTTTTTAAACTTTAGTTTTCACTTTTCAATTTTAGCAACATTAGATATCTTTCATTTGCATTTTTTACTTTTAAATAATGATTATATTTCTTTTTATACAATTATAATAATAATAAAATTAACTTATAATTTCATATAAAAGTAAAAGTAAAAAGTAAATATATAATTATATATTTAATTCAAAAAAATTTAGAAAGTAAATTTCTTCTAGAAATTGAAATTATAATTTTGCTTCTCACTCTCTCAGAGAGAATGAAATACACACGCTCTGCCGCATAAGCCTTTAGGATTCAAATAATTCTATTTCAATATAGTTTAAGGTGGTAATAGGATTCCCGCAAAAATAAAATATGTAGTTGAAAATCCGACAATAAGTCAAGGGGTACTTATGCATTTTCCCGGGGTGATTATGTATTATGCCATATTCAAAATGTAACATGAACTAATACGAATAACATCATATCATGTGGGGTGATGAATCATTGTCAGTTGTACCTTATTTTCAACTAGGTACGTTTCCTTATTGATCGACCATCTGTCTCATGCATATTTACTTGATGTGAAATATCTAAATAAAAGATTACTAGTAATCTAGAGTGTTTTTGGAAAGTTAAACAAGAGTTAGTCTCATCAAACATAAACTACGTGGGACTTCATTTAAAAATGAGGAATGTATTGAAAATTGGTTAGTAACATTTTCTTGTTTAGTTTTCTTAGGAAGAAGTGCTATAAAAATTCATAAACCAAGTGGATGTAGTTGATTCCAGAGAATCAATTCAATGATTATGAGATAGAAATTCAAGTACATAGTATTATGAGCTCAAAAAAAGAAAACGAACTCACTAATTTAATCTTCTTATGCACTAGTATTTAAAAAAAAAAAAAAAATAGTGTCTGCCTGTAAGGCTGACATGCTTCCTGTCCAATGAGATTATGGTAAAAACTTCATAAAAGAATCGGACTATATTGATTGAAAATAATTATCTTCATGCATAAAAATATTAGATGCTTAGTAAAAAACATAAAACAATCATCGCTAATAACTACTGTAGGCATGATATTTATTTTATCTTTTTCGCCTGTCAATAATCCTAGCACTAGAGATAATAAGGGTGTAATTAGAACCTAGAGTCATATCTGCATTGATTGAGTGTAATTGAATTTTTACTAAGATTCCTACCTCGAGGTTGCTTTTTCTTCTTGGATCCTTCACTTAATTGATAAGAATAACAACAAAACAATTACCATCTGTTAATGTAGTACTATATCATAGGCCAGTGGTTTCTTGGTATTGCCATTCTTGAATTTCTAACGGGAGAGAATCCCAAGCAAGATCCCAATAATTTGTAATTAAATATAAGCCCATATAGACTTTTTTTTTTTTGTTTCCCACCCGGTGTCCGGTACCCGCATTGGAGCCCGACTATATCTGGATTTGCGCCGCGTAGGGCCCCATTTGGGAGGAAGCGCTCCCTACCAAGGATTTTTCCATACCCAGAGCTCGAACTCGAGACCTCTGATTAAGAGGGGAGCAGTCTCATCCACTGCATCACATCCTTTGGTGGTCCATATAGACCTTTTAACTTCGTTTATCGTCGTTTTCCATTTTTTTGTTTTTATTTAGTAGTTTGATTTAAATGATATCAATTAGTGTAGGAATAAGTTTTACTCATGTTAATATGTTTATTTTGGATTCGATACTTTTTTACTAACATAATACATAAAAAACTTCTACTGCAGAGAAATTAATAAATAATAATATTAGAATGAGTCGAAATAAAATGAAGCAACATGAATAGTGAGTTTTCATGTACTTACTTGGGATCAGAGCAGTAATATTGTTTTTAGTTGTTGTTATGAAAAAAATGGAAGAATTGAAACTAAGGGAGGATTGAACACTTAAAAAAAAATTATTTTCTAATTCTTTTGGCATTTGAAAATTGGTTGAATAGAGCCACTGACACTGAATAATTGAGCAATAATATATGAACTAAAGTTGGAAATTAAGCAAATAATGACTCTTTCAACAAGGACGAACTCAAGCACTAGTGTTAGGAGGAATAATTGCTAAAAACAGATTAATTTAGTGGAGATTAAGTGCTGAAAGTGGCTTTGCTTTTGTGTTTAGCCATTAGTGTCCTCTCACTTACTATATGAATATGAAAATAATGTGGAAACATTTCTTTTTATGGATCCCAAATACTCCATTTTTTAATTTTCTTCAAGAAAATTAAGGTATCAGCTGGCCTACATGTGAATTATTAATCATAATGATAAATGATTATGCACACCACCTATACCACTAATGGCTTCTTATTAGGGCGATTATATTAGTTTTCTTAACATTTAACGACAATATTATATCAGAAAAGCAACAACAACTATCTAGTAAAATCCCACAAGTGAGGTATGGGAAAAGTAGGGAGTACGCAGACCTTACCCTTATCCCGAGGAAGTAGAGAAGTTGTTTCCGATAGACTCTCAGCTCAAGAAAACGAAAAGAGACAATATATCAGTACCATCAACAGAAACCATAAAAAGAATAACAACATCGTAAGAACCAGAAAATAGATGCAAGGCAATAAAAATAACCAGTAAATAGGACCCGATGCTATGAAAAACGAAAGAATAGTGTGAACACCACATTAACCACTAGCAGACAAAACCGTATCAGGCTAGCCTCACACACGGTACGAAGTAGAAAAATGTTCAATATAAGATAAGCAAAACAAAAAATAAACATCTTTATTTCTGGTTGCCTTTTGTTTTTCTTTCTTTATTTTTCCTTCTATAACGTATATTCGATAGATTTAATGCAAGCGAGCTGTAAAGTACTTTTATTAAAATCAATGGTAAATGAGTTTAATGAAAAGTAATTTCAGCCATAAACTAAAACCCCAAGAAACAGAACTAAACAAACAGTTAATAATCTATCAAAAACCAAAGGAATATGTCTAAAGCATAAAGTTTTGTATATTTAAGGATGAATAGACAAAATGTTTGACATTAACAAAATAACTGAGCATCTCTTCACTGCCATACTCCCCAGCTTACCAATCAAATTATATGTACAAACCACCACCAATTACATATGCTTTGTGGAATTCACAAACATGGCTTGACCAGTCCCTTTTTTTTTTTTTTTTTTTAATTATGGTGTGAGGGGGGTGGGGGTAATTAATAAGACTCAATATCCAGCACACAATGCATAGGGAATTATTTTAGGTTCTGTGCTGGAAAACCGAACGACGACAACAACAACATACCCAATATTATCCCACACCGTGAGGTGTGGAGAGGGTAGTGTGTACGCAGACCTTACCCCTACCTTATGAGGATAGAGAGGTTGTTTCCAATAGACCCTCGGCTCAAGAAAGCATAAGCATCACATTAATGAAAATATAGACAAGGGACAGTACCAAAAAACCATATAAAAGCATAATAAAAACAACAAGATAGTAAGGTGATCAACAATAAAGGAAACAACGATTAGTCATAAAAACTTACCAATAGAAAGCGAGACTGTGTGCCAATACTACTGGAAAACCGAACGAATCAAAACAAAATGAATGTGATTATGTATATAGGAACAAATAAATTACTATCACAAACTCCGTAAGAGTCAATCTTGTTGAGAACAGTACGTATAGAAAAATGTTTGGAAAAAAATATAAAGAGGTAAACGTAAAAGAACAAAAGAATGGAGAAGAAGCAAATATAGCACACGAGATTTAAGAAAAAGAATGGAGGAGCCTAAATGGAACTTTAAATTTGAGCAAATCCAAAAGTTCCTGCAAAACAAATCTATGTTGTACTACCCCCTCAGTGTATACTGCCATTGACAATGTATATCCCTACAATGGCAGGACAGTTTCTATACATGTATTCTATTATAGGGTTTCTGGAAAAAAAACATTTATATATAACCCTTTCAAATGCTTCCGAGTTCTTCTCAGGATTTGGAGTGCAACAGACCCTTTACTTCAACAGCCTCCTCAGAAGCAAAATCGAGCTCAAATTTTTCGAGTGTTGTATAAGCATTTCCTCCAAATATGTCATAGAAGTGCGCGGAAGTATCTTTTCCTAACCCGAATGTTACCACCAACCATGATTTAAATGTTGCTTAACGTCTCATCCTCATAAGATGGTTCTAAGCACTCCCACGGGTTGGAGTAAAAATAATCTTCCTCTTTAGGTCTGTCTTGAATGACTAATCTCTTCGTAGGGTTGCCCATACGTTCAGCATGAGCTTCCTTAACAGCGATAGAAAACTCATCCCATGTCAATGATCCAGCATTATGTTGGTCTATTAAATCCACCAGAAGTCTTCTGTGCAACAAGATAGTTTTCTTGTATCCAAGATATCTATATAGAAAGAATAGAGGGCATTCAGATGAAATTAAGATTGTACAAAAACCAGCAAACCAACTAAACCCCACATGTAATGTGCAATCCCTAATAAGTAATTTACTACTATTTGGAATATGAAGTCGCCCTTTTATTATGCAACTACTATGATCTATCAAAAATGAATACCTGCGATGTCCTTCGACAACTTTAGCCATGTTTCCGTCATAAGTAGGAACAAAGATATCGCTCTCCAGAGAAACGAGATAATCTAATGCTGCCATCTGGGAGGAGTGATTTTGAAAGAACCTCAGCTCAGAAGGCTCTAGTAGTGTCTCCTTCCTTACCTGTTAGAAATGAAATCCCGTGCAAATTATAAGTCTGCAAATTCAGTCAACGTATTCAGAAGCTTAAAAACTAACTAGAACTTTCTAACTTACCAGATTTGGATAAGCTGCAGCAAGACTAGCCATTCTCCTTTCTCCACCATAAATCTCTCCTGCAGCGATGTAAACTTGAATACTAGGATCAATGTCCAACGCCCTTAAAGTAAGAGCAGTTTCCTCAGGAGTCAAAGGACAGAGACCGTCTCTTCTTTTCAAATCTGAATTTATAATTTTTTCTTTCCACCACGGATAAGCATATCTGGAGAAAGGTAAAAATTAATCAGCAAGAGAACTAACGATGGTTAAAGCCACCAATGAATACGAGGATTTAACTTCACCTCATTCTAGTCAACTCTTCAACCTCCTCATTGTTGCATCCCTGAGTACAGCCAGAGAAAGCTAACATATCCATTTCGTATCTTAGGTGCAGAACCATAAAAGGACCCTCTTCTCTGAGTAGTCTGATAACCTTTCTACCCAGCTCTTCTATTTGTGGGGTGAATTTCAACGCACCAAAATTAACTCGGCATCGTAGCTTTTGAATTTCCATAGGTTGTCCATTATTGGCAAGCCGAGCATCAGTCCTGTTCAAATGAACTACTTTATGCTTCCGAATTAAGGGAAGAATCTGTATTCAGAAAATGACCATCATTAAACTGGAAAAAGGATGCGAGAGTTAACAACGATAACGAAGTACCATTTATTTAGCAATAAACGACAAACCTGATTATGGTAGTAGGAAATGTCGGACCAACTAATAGGAGCCATGGTATGAATCGTTCCTAACTCTACTCTCCTCTTCAGTCTTGGAGGTAGCTCCTTCAGTATTCGAACTTCATCTCTCAAGGATGTTATAAAATGATCAATATCAAATATGTCTTGAAATTCACTGCAAACAAAAAATGTTGTTAATACCAGTCATCATCTTTTCATACTAAAGAAGAATTCAGTAATTTGAAAGACAAAAATCAAGATAATTGAGTGGATGCACCTCGGATCAGCCCAAAAGGAGGTTTTATCTAGCTCAGGAACAATAAGAGTCACATTCAAATATCTTGCTATAGCAACCATATCACATATCTGCATCAAGAGTAGACAAAGAACAAAAGGAAAAACAAGTGACATAATCATCCATACGAGTCAAATTTACAATGGTCATCCAAATTAATTACATTTGTATGTGGTAGTGAACTGATTGATCTAAAACAAGCTACTAACCGCTGACCGCATTTGATTAAGCCCACCATTGCATGAAACCATGAGGTAACCATTATTCCTGTAAACCCCTGAGATTCACAAATAATCATAACATCCATCAGTCTGACAAATCGTTCAGATGTAAAGTTATGAGCTCTAAATTCAGCCCCCGGAACTTCCAATACTAACGGTCAGGAAACATATAACCGCTGAAAGACTTGCAAAACAATTTTGTTCTTAACTTAGGGTAACCAGAAAGTTTGATTAACCTGAATAGGACGCTGTAGTGTGTGATTTCAATAATATTCCCAAGCCAAATACTTAAAAAATGGATCAACATACTTTAAAAGTATACCAAATTATAGTTAGCACAATACTACAATAACCTTGTGATGATACGTAAAATTCCTTCTATAACAAGTCCTCCAACTAAAATATGCATAAATGGCATTAAGCTATACTCATTAATAATTCCACTTCCCCACTAAGATGACTATCTCTATGACACAATATGCAACATGATCTCTTAGTTATCGAACGCAAAGGCGAAGCCAAGATTTCAACTTTATGAGTTCTGGATTTTAAAACAATGACTTCAAGTGCTAATAACTGGATTCTAAATTTAATTTTTGTATAAATTTAACAAATTTCTTAATACAAATACATAGTTTGAGCAAAAGTTACTGTGTTCGGCCTCCAACCTTATAGGAATGTAAGGGGAAAACAAGTCAACAATACTGAGTACATGGACATGAAAACACACACACACACACAGAGTCAAAAGGATACTCACTCTTTGGTGGAAGAACTCTAGCAGGGACCGCAGGAGATGATTTAACGACGAGTAGTGCAGTGGATTCGTGAGAAAAACAAGAGGGCCAGCCTTTTAAAACCCTAGGACCCCAATTCTCTCCCAATATAGTCAATTGAACCAAACAAATCCACAACAGCACAGATGTAGTTACCCTTATAATCCATAGCTTCATTCTAGACCTATATACTATACAATTCTTCAGTTTCTCTACACGACTCTCCCCTAAAGCTGTCCCTTTTAACCCCATTATTCTTTATGACCAACCCCCCAACCCCTACAATTCTCTGCCCATAAAATCACTATTCAAATCTCAAGTTTGTATTTTTTTTCCTTTTTTAGCTCAATATCTCATCACACACAATCAATATACCCCATAAAGCTCACTTCTTTGGATAATGTAGGATCTAAAATCAATCAAGATCCCACTTTATTTGAGACCCACAATATTGCTTCATACAAAAGAAGACGTGGGGTTATAAAAAAGTTGAAATCCGAGCACCAAAATAGGAAAAGTTTAAATCTTTAACCTAAATGAGAAGAAAATTTCAGAATATTCCTTTCAGAAATTTGAGCAAAACTGCAAAACTTGGATTATGAAAAAAAAAAAGGATGTGAATGGGAGCAGGAGAAAGATGATGATAACTCAATTGGGTCGGATTCAGGGAGTGATAATATATGGATCGGGTCTTGACCCTGTTGATTGGTTGAAATGGTTATGACATGCCAAGTTGGAAACAAATTTATGGATATTGAATGTTTACACTAAACTAAACTGTAGTTGATTTATTATGGTTAAATTAATTAACAAAATTAATGTAAACTGTTTATTAACTCCATTTAAGTAATAACAAACATTTATCAAAATATATACTACTCCTATTTTGTAAGTATTCATTAATTTAATTTAATAGAAATACCACATTTGCCTCATGCTTAAGCTCAGTTTTTGTCTGTGCTTCTTTTTCAACTTTGGTAGTGATTCATTTTTTTTTTTTTTTAAATAGCACTTTTGTGTGATCAATGACTATCACATGGGACTAAATTATCTTGTCTTGTTATACTTATCTCCATTTTATCTTTTTTTTTATTTGAAAATAGTTTGTTGAAAAATAGAAATAAATTAGTTTTAACATTTGATTTTGATCTTTAAGTTGAATTAATTCATGTTTACATTTTTTTTCCGGTTATGAGTCGGATTTGATAACATTTACCTACTCTTATCTTTTAAGTATACGACGCAAACAATCTTGGTGATAATCCAACCTTATAAAACCGATCTTGATTTTATAATATCAAGATTTACATACTATAGTATAGACGACGAATTTGATTTTACATTAAATAGCATATGATACTTCTTTGATGAATAATTTGAACTAAAAAACTAGTTACTAAAAATTTATTGCTTATTTGCTTGTAATATTCTTTTTCTTAGAAAATATACAAGTTTGTCGCAGAGGATCAGGAAACTAAAACAAGATTTGCTTAGGTTGAAATTTTGGACCCGTTTGGCCATGATTTTTGCCAAAATAAATTTGGGATTTATTTTCAAAACTCATGTTTGGCCATAAATTTTGCCCACATTTTGGCAAAATCCCAAATCCCAAACCCCAAATCCTAAAATTACCCCAATTGCTGATTTTGGGCCAAAATCCCAAAACTTGGGAATTATATACATGTTTTTCCAAAATAAAGTTGGGAAATATGTTTTGAAAACGTATGTCCAAACAGATTTTCATCTTCAAACCGAACTTCACTCAAATCAGATTTTTCAAAACAAATTTGGGATCTATGGCCAAACGCTAGTTTTGACTAGGGTGTTTGGATTGGCTTATAAAAAGTATGATTTTAAGCTAAAAGCCAAAAGTCATAAGTTGGTAATACCCAACTTTTGGTTTTTTGCTTATTTTTGTGCTTTTTATGTTTAAAAGTAAGTGCTTTTAAGCACTTTTTATCATTGTCAAACACCACACAAAACTAAAAAAGTACTTAAAAGTCAATAAGCACTTAAAATAAGTCAATCCAAACACCCAAAGTAGCTTTTAAGCTAAAAGCCAAAAGCCATAAGTTAGTAATACCCAACTTTTAGCTTTTTGCTTATTTTTGTACTTTTTATGCCTAAAAGTAAGTGCTTTTAAACACTTTTTTATCATTGTCAAACACCACACAAACTAAAAAGGTGCTTAAAAGCCAACAGGCACTTAAAATAAGTCAATCCAAACACCCTCTAAGTAAAAAGCAGTTCGATACACAAAATATTTCGTATTCACACAAGTTCGATACATAAAATATTTCGTATTCACACAAGGTCCGAAAAAGGATCGCATCTTTCATGTGATGTAAACAACTTATCATAATATATCATTAACAGCTGCCGTCAGACTTCTCTATAACAACATCCTTATATAACAACACTTCACTATACAAGTCAAGTTTTTTCCGGAACCAATTTTCATGTTATGTTATAATATATGTTATGTATAACAGCACTTCGCTATAACATTCAAAAATATTCGAAACAAACGAGACTGTCATAGAGAAGTTTGACTGTATTTAGGGGTGTCAATGGTTTGGTTCGGCCGGTTATTTTATAAATTTTGTACCATACCAATTTTTCGGTTATTCTATTATGTATAACCAAAATCAGATTTTTCGAAACCGTACCAATCATGTCGGTTTTTCTTCGGTATCGGTACGGTTCAGTTAATTTTCGATATTTTTTTTAAATGTCATATAGTCACTATTAGAAATAGAATGCAATAACACAAGTACTTTTATAGAAATTAGTAGAACTCTCTAAATATTTTACTGTTTAAAGAGTGATAAATTAAGAAAATATATGTATATATACTAATCTTAATGTACGCGCGTTGCGCGTGTTTCTCATCTCAATAAGTATTTTTTTCGTAAGAAACTTACATATTTAAAAAAAATTGTGTTTGAGTAATAAAATAAAGTGTAAGCTTATGAAATTGTTGAATATTGATCTTATATAGCTAACTCAATAAAGGAAAAAAAATTGCTTATGAAAGTCCTCAATCATTATTCAATATGTTCATCTTAAATTATGTTTCAAATTATAATTTTATCAGTTCAATTTCACAAGTTATCTTGCTCTCTTTTTAGTTTCGGTAAAAACCCATATCCTTTGAAGATTTAGAAATTTTCTGATTTTTTTTTTTAAAAGCTATTCTCAAGTTCATTCGAGAAGACATAAATATGGTATAGACTTAAGACTTTTATTACGATTCTTTCAAAATTTGTCAAATAACATAAATTAAAAAATTAAGTCATATGTCTTCTCAATTTATTTCCCTTCAATTTCAATGTTACCCATGTAGTGAAGTTTTAAGTTGATGAAACAAAAAAAATATACTACTACATAACTTTGTCTAACGGATAAAAGATCAATTAACATTTTTTGTAGAAGTTTCGTACTTTTATAATATAATTTAGGCTTGTACGATTTAGTATGATTGAATATGATATGAAATAATTATATTGGGTGCTTAATTGAACACGGGTTAATTATTTTGTATGGTTAAAATAAGAATTATTAAATACATATTCAACTGTTCTACGTTGAAATAATTTTAATTTTAAAATGTATTTTAATTTTAATTTAATAGTGACTTTATGTCCCATATTTCAATTTCATAATTAGAAATCAATTGAATTCACCGTAAAACTTCGTTCTCATATTGATTCTACGTATTACACAAAGGATTTATTTTCAAATAGTACAATATATGTAAGGTGAAGTATTTATTACTTTTAAATTCTTAAATATTAGGACTTCTTTCATTTAATAGATAAAATTTTTATTGATTTAAATTTAAAAGTCCTAAATATTAGGAAAGTAACTTAAATTAGAATTTTGTCCATTGTAAAAGCTATTATAAAAGGGTAAGAAAGACGAACGATATTTCGCTAGAGGTGTTCGTGCTTTTAATATAGTATAGATAGATATAGATTTGTATTAGTCAAGTACTTCTTCTTCTTCATCTTGAGATAGAATATGTTCTTGTTTCTTTGTATTTTGTTAGAATTAGTTTAATATAAATAATTTTTTTAAAATTAGATTAATAAAAAGAAGAAGTGCACAATGAGAATTAAGTGAAATATTTCTCATAACAATTAACACGTTATTTGAAGGCTTTAGAAAATAATTTTTATAATGATCAGTTTGGAAACGGCAAAAGAAAGTGTTAGTGTTACATTATGGTCTGTAGCTTACTATAAGTATTTTATTGGATGCAGAAGTTAAGAAAATTAATCTAACGTTATGTTACATTATTCGAATAAGAAAGTGATTATATAAGGTAAAATTTTAATTGATTTTGACTTCCTAAATTTTAGGATTTAATATTGATTTCAAAATCCTAAATATTAGGGAACTGTCTTAATGATAACTTTGTTTAGTGTGAAATTTATTTTAAAAGGGTAAAAAAGGCGAACGACATTTCGCTAAGGGCCTTCGTACTTTTGATATAGTATAGATATATCACACGAGTGGAAAGATATTAACTAAGTTGGGACTCAAGTATAAAGTCTGTAGGAGATTAAATATTCAAAAAGATAAAACTAAATCACACGAAAGGAAACATATTCAACATATTGTAGTTTGTTACTCATAATCACTAGAATACCTTGTATCTTACTAAACAATATGCTGGAAATAATTTGGTTTCAATAGGAGTAGTATAAATTGGTTTGGGAATTATGATTTTGAGTTTAATTACTTGTGGCTTGTAATTTTTTCATACTTCCAATGCCCAAGGAAAATTTTAATATTTTATTATTTTTAAACTTAATATATATATATATATATATATATATTTATATTTATTCGGTACGGTTCGGTAATTTTTTGGTTTATTTTTGTAAAGTCAAAAACATACCCTAATTATTGGTATGGTTATGGATTTATATAAGAACCTACGGTTTTATTAAAAATTTAAAAGAAACCTAAAAATCGATTCAGTACGGTACGGTTCGATCGGTTTAGTCGATTTTTAAATATCCATTAACACCCCTAACAATATTAACACGGCTCAAACCCGTGATTTATAGGCTCCCTTCACACGTAACATTGGTAAACAGAACAAAAACAATGTCATTGGTAGGGGTGTTCGTGGTTCGGTTTGGATCGGTTTTTCCCTAAAAAGAAACTAAACCAAGTAAGTCGGTTTTTCAAATATTAGAACCAAACCAAACCGATTAAGTCGGTTTCTTCTCGATTCGGTTTATGTCGGATTTTGTCGGTTTTCGGTTTTTTCGATTATTTGTCGGGTTTTTCTTAAATATAAGACATACACTACCAAACACATATTCCGGCGACCACATTTTCAACGTAACACTATCAAATCAATTGTCCTTTGAGAAATCTATTATTTACCAAGATATATTCATAATAATTTAATCAAATAGTGATGAATAATTTAAGGACTCAATTAAAAATATATTATTTTTAACACGAAATAGATTCTTACACTTAACAAAAGAAAACTACCAATCAAACTAGAATGTAAAGGTAAAGAACTATATTAAAAGTGCATACTATTAACATTTAACCATAAATTTTTTGAAACTTTATATAAAAATCTACGTATATATAGGTGTAATAATAAATTTGAAATAGCTACTCCTATAGTCGGTTTGGTTCGGTATTTTTCTGTTTTTTTCTAATTAAAACCAAAACCAAACC